TTTACAAAATAATTTTGTAGATTTAATAAAAAATGTATATAAAGATTGTTAAGTCTATAAACTGAGAAAACAATATTTTAACAAATACAATTGAAAATGAAACATATGAGTATGTATATGAAAATATATTTGTTTCATATCTAAGTAGTTAAACCAAATCACAATAATAAATACGAAATATGTAATTTTATATTTGTAAACATGAAAACCAAAACTTGTGTTGTATATATATATGACTACATATATATACAAGGAAACCAATAAAATGTATGTGTATATGATATTGAGCTTAGAGTATCTAACACACATAATATAAAACCTAAACTAAGATTACCCAAGCCGATCTTGATCTTCAATAAGCTTGACTTGGTACACTATGCGGATGAAGCTTGAACTTGATCTTTAACTTTGAATTGCATGTTGCTTCACTCCATAATTCTGCCAACCTCCATTTGATATGATCGTGAATGCGCAATTCCATCCATCCTCCAATATGTTGTTTGTCTATAATAAATAGGAAACCACAAATACTAGACAAACAAAATTAGATGTAAATTGTTTGTAAATAATTATCAAAATAAGAAGGCTAACAATCTTAACCGTAATTAGTTAGACAAGCCAAGCACGAAGATAGCCCCAAGAATCTATTGCCGAGAAGATGATCCAAAGAAGCTGATCTCTAGATCTCCAAAATACTCAAAGATCCAAAAGATTTCCCCCTCAAAAGCCAGCCAAAGTTCTCTTCTTTTTTACCCAGGAGAAAGACCCGAACTGAGCTGATTTCTTAGTTATTTATAGGGGATTAAAAGGTGTAACTTTCCCTTAATTCGCTCCTAAATGGGGCTTATGGGATATAACCGCCCCCTTAAATCACTCCTGAGTGGAGTTGTGATCCCCTCAGATCGTGGGAAACGGTTTTAAAACCGTTCAGCTTGTGTTTGAATGAGTCAAACGTAAAATCCGCATTCTAGCGTGAATTCTACGTTTAAACGTAGCGTCTGGAAGCTCGGACGCAGCGTCTGGAAGCTCATTTGTAGCAATTGGAAGCTGTGTTTGCGGTCGAACATAAACTGTGTTTTTAGTAGTTTGGCAGCATTTAAGAGCTGCATTTGGCACCGGATGAAAGCTGCGTTGGTAGCTTTCGGAGGCTGCATTTGCGTTCGAACATAAGCTGCGTTAACAGCTGGATCTGAGCTACGTTTGTAGCGTTTGGAGCTAAATGTAAGTTACGTTTGCACTGCGTTAGTGGCTGTGAACATGGTGCGTCTTGATGCTGGTACGCGGGGAGGACTTTCGCATCTTGATTTGAAGAGACCGTCGATTTGTAGTCTCTTTCTGTCAGAATGTTACAAAGATCGTTGTTTTGTAATCTTTGCTTTAGCTCTTTGATATGTGAGAGTCGTCAGATTGTAACTCCTGATGTTGATTGTAAAGACTGTTGATTAGAGCTTTTATCAGTTGTTGTGAAGGTCGTCAGATTATAACCTTCATCAATCTACATGAAAGTCTTCAAAATATAGCCATCTGGAAGCCGTCAAATTATAACTTTCATCATTGGGGTTTGATGGGGATCAACTATCTGCAGTGATTTTTAGACAACATACAACACCCTTCCACAAGTTGGAACCAGGCTCTATCAAGTCATGGGCTGATGTAGAAAGGCTCTTCCTCGCCCGCTTCTTCGATGATGATACCGAGGTGTCTATGGCTACCCTCATTGCTGAAAAGCAAAAGAAGTCGGAGTCAGTCAATGACTTCGTAAAGAGATTCAGGAATCGGTCGGTCCATTGCAGAGACCAAGTCTCTGAAACCACACTGATTGAGACGTGCCGCAATAACCTTTCAATCCATATTCTGTCTAAGGTTGGTGCGGTAGAGACCCGAACCTGGAAAGAACTCGTTCACCAAGGTGCAGAAACAGGTGACCACAAACATGGTCACTCTGAGTTTTAGAAGGGATCTCCCAGAGGTTCAAGCATCGGCGGGGGTAGTTCCTATCCCTAAGGTAATGTTGAAAATTATTAACGATGATCCTCACAATCAATGAGGAAAAGGTTTAGTATCCCAAACCTTACCATCAGGGCAAGTGATGTGGGTCCATCCGGACCTCCTCGACGATGAGCAATGGACTTCAAAGCCTTTGAAGAAGACTAAGGGTAAACCTTGCCACGCCGTATCCGCCAACCCAGATGAAGGCAAAACGGCAGTAGCCACTCTCACTGACTCCGATGAGGATGCTGCCAACCTAGCCACCAGAGCAGGGAGAGAATTCACCAAGAATTACCCTGCTAGAACAGAGGGTCCTGCAGGACCTTCCACAAGGTCGCATGTAGCGACCCCTCCGAACCCCGATGGGCCTAGCTCGAGTAATCAGCCTTTCAGGTTCAACGTACTCGCACAGCTAAAGAACATTCCAGCTAGAATCACCATGTATGAACTCATGCGTTTGTCTAGGCCTACTCGGGAAGCTCTACAAGAGGCATTGGCCGACTCAGAGGTCTTCGCCACACACTTCTCGTCTGCTAGGGAAAAGGACGCAGAAAAGAAATGTTTACAGTGCTGTCAGGCCTCCGAACAATGGGTCCCTTGCATTATATTCACCTTTGAGGACATGCTAATCAAAAGCACTTCCCACGATCGACCCTTGTACTTCACGGGGTACATCGGTTCCTCCAGAGTGGATCGAATCCAAGTTGTCCCAGGATCCACGCTAAGCATTGTCCTATCGAAACTTATGCAATACCTGGGGGTCCCCCAGAAGCATCTTTCCGTGATAACCACGACTATCTTCAGGTTCAACACCACCGAGATGAGGCCGCTTGGCAAGATCCGCCTATAGTGCCGTATAGGCGACATGAAGACGGAGGTCACCTATTACATCATTGACGCGAAGCCTTCCTACAACATGCTTTTAGGACGGCCATGGATCCACATTAACCGCATAGTCCCGTCTACATTACACCAATGCCTAAAGTATGTGGATGACTACGATCGGGTGAAGATAGTGGTTGCCGACAAACAACCCTTCAAAGAAGTCGAGAACTACTTCACGGATTTCCTGCTTTGCCAAGATTCCGACGAACCTCCGATCGAGAAACTCGAGAACGGTAACGAAGCAGATAGTGAACCCGAATACGGGGATAGCCTTGTCCTGAATGATTTCGAATCGATTGTAATCGGCTATGAAAGCCACAATGTAACTGACGCTATCCAGGCGGATGAGATTATCTTGAATGAGAAGTTCAACTTTGCTTACTTACCATCTTGCCCGACATCCGAGGATGACCTACCTAATGTCTCAATGTCGAGGCTCTATAGTGACCCTTCACTATATTTTCCCGTGTACTCGTCGTATGTCGCGAAGAGACAAGCGATTGAGTCTTCGCAGGTTGTATTCGTCGTACCCGCCCAAGATAATTATCAAAAGGATATTATCTTCGGGAGAATCGATCACCCCTTATGCACGTTGTGGGACGAGTCTGAAGAGGAGGAATCCCCGCCATAGTTTTCGCAATACAACCAAATAACAAAACGTATGATGAAGGATATGGGTTACGATTTCGCTTGTCAAGAAGGCCTGAACTACGGCCGAGGGCGGAAGACGGTCATCTGACCCGCCTATGTGCTTAAAGGCAAGCCCTCGAATTGCTTTGCCAAGACTCGGAGAGGTTTGGGCTATATTTCTTCCTCATCAGAGTTGTTCTGCAATTTCGGTGGGGACTCCGATGATGTTCGCTCAGAGGATCGATCATCGACATCCTCAACGTGGGACTCAGACGTCAGCGTGGGAGACTTGGTCAACAACCTCACAGTTTACATGGTTACAACCGTTCCCGCCGAAATGGCGGAGGACGGACAGGTCCCGCTTTATGATGAGACATGGGACCGTCACGTCAACACCCAGTGGAGTAATCGCTTCGAGCAACATGAGCCACCCACCGAGGACGAAATCCTCTAAGTAAACATGGGCGATGAGACCAACCCTTAGCCCATATTTATCAGTGGTAGTCTGCCTCCTCAAGAGAAGGAAGACCTCATAGCCCTCATACGGGAATATATTGATGTATTCGCGTGAAATTATGAGGACATGCCCGGCCTTGATCCACAGATCGCTATGCATCACCTCAACATCGGCGCAGACGCTAAGCCTATCAAACAGTAGCAGAGACGGTTTTGTACGTAAATCATGGAGGCAATCGAGGCTGAAGTGAAGAAGCTGATCGAATCCAGCTTCATCAGAGAGGAACAACACCCCGACTGGGTAACCAACATTGTTCCAGTCGTGAAGAAGAATGGAAAGATCCGCATCTGCATTGACTTCAGAAACCTCAATGCTTCTTGCACAGAGGATGTCCTTTATGGATGTGTTTTCAGGGTATAATCAAATCAAGATGCACCACGATGATGAAAAACACACTTCATTCAGGACTCCAATGGGGGTATACTGCTACACGGTTATGCCTTTTGGAGTCAAAAATGTCGGTGAAACCTATCAATGCGTCATGAGCACAATTTTTCGAGACCATCTACAAAAGACAGTCAAATGCTATATGGACGACTTGGTCGTGAAAAGTCACAGTAAAGATGACCACCTCCAAGACTTGAGGGTGATGTTCGAACTCATGAGAACTCATCAACTCAAGATGAATCCTACGAAGTTATTTTTAGGGATGTACAGTGGTAAATTCCTTGGATTCGTAGTCATAACTAAAGGAATCCGAATCGACCCGGATAAAATACAAGCTATCCAAGAGCTTCAGCCTCCCTGCAATCTCAAAGAAGTAAGGGATCTCCAGGGACGATTGACTTACATCCGGAGGTTTATTTCAAACCTCTCGGGCAAATGTCAACCCTTCTCCAAATTGATGAAGAAAGGCATCTCCTTCGTATGGGACGAGCCCTGCCAATGGGCCTTTGAAGAGATCAAAGCTTACCTCTCGAACCCACCTGTCCTGGCGGCTCCAATCTTAGGAAAGTCATTCCTCATCTACATACGAGCCATGGAGCACTCTCTGGGCGCTCTCTTGGCACAAAATGATGATGCCGGCCATGAACAGGACATCTACTACCTGAGTAGAACTCTACAGGGCACCGAACGGCGATACCTTATGGTCGAAAAGGAATGCTTAGCCCTGGTATTTGCCATCCAAAAGATGCGACACTACCTAGGTTGCCAAACCATCCATGTCATTTCCCGGATAAACCCCATCCGAGTCTTCATGACGCAGCCCGCAGTCTTAAACTAGCATTTGGCCAGATGGGCACTCCTACTGTCTCAGTACGACATTCACTTCATGCCGCAGAAGTCAGTCAAAGGGCAGGCTATCTGTGATCTCATGGCCAGTTATCCGCTGGCGGTGAAAACTGACCTGTTTGAAGATTTACCAGATGAACACCCCAAAGTCAACACGACCTCCCCGGTAGAAGCTTGGCAGATGTTCTTTGACGGCACGTCTCGCGTCGGCACGAGTGGATCTATCGTTGTAGGAGTTGGGGTGGTCCTTACTTCCCTACCTAACCACGTATTACCCCGAGCCTTTTCTTTAACAGAGCCATGTACCAATAACTTGGCTGAGTATAATGCGCTACTCATTGGACTCGAGCTGGCAAGAGAGTTAGAGATAAAACATCTCGAGGCCTATGGCGACTCTCAGCTCATTGTCAAGCAGATGACGGGGGAATATGAAGTTAGAAACGACGACCTGATCCTACTTCACAAAGCAGCTACCAAACTAGTTGAGTCATTCGAAAGCTTCCACATTGAGCATGTGCTTCGTTCCAAGAACACGCACACGGACGCCCTCGCGTCCTTAGCAGCTAACTTGGCTCAGCCGTCAGAGACGACTCAATGTGTCACTATAGCAAGCCGATGACTCTTTCGACCGGAGGACGTTCTAGAAGTAAACACTACTCACCAAGCTCCGGATCAACTTGACCCAAAAGACTAGTGTCTCCCGATCATCGACTACGTTTTGTATGGCATGTTACCTGAAGATGCTAGGGAGCGAGAATCTATCCGCCGACGCACCTTAAGGTTCTACTATGACTCGACCACAAAGAAGTTATATCATAGGTCGTATGATGGTTTATTGCTCCGATGTCTTTCAAAGACAGAAGCGTGAGAAGCTCTACATGAAGCCCATGAGGGCACCAGCAGAGCTCACCAGCCGGGACCTAAGCTGTGGGATCGTCTACGGAGGATAGGCTATTTTTGGCCAGGGATGGTTAGTGACGCAGTTGCTTATGCCAAACGATGCCACACGTGCCAAATCCACGCCAATTACATGCACCGACCTCCTGAAGGCCTACATACAACAACAACGTCGTGGATGTTCGAAGCATAGGGAATGGATATAGTCGGACCGATATCCCCGCCATCAGCAAGAGGTCATCGGTTCATCCTGGCAATCAGCAACTACTTCTCCAAATGGGCCGAAGCCGTCCCCTTAAGAGAAGTCAAAACCAATGATGTGATCAAGTTTATCAAACATCATGTCATATATTGATATGGCGTACCTCGACGTGTCATCCATGACAACGACACGCAATTCGTTAGTCATGCGTTCACCCGGTTCTGTAACAAGTTCCGAATTCAGAACCTTTCCTCTACAGCCTATAATCCTTCGGTGAATGGCTTGGCCAAGTCTTTCAACAAAACCATCGTTAAGATCCTAACTAAGCTGACCTCTAATAGCAAGCGCGACTAGAATGAGAAGCTTAGGGAGAGCTTATGGGCGTATCGCACAACGGTTCGCATACCGACTGGCAACATGCCTTACTCATTGGTATATGGCTGTGAGGCCATGTTACCATTAGAGATTCAAATTCCATCCCTCCATGTCGCCCTAGCTATAGGGATGATGACCGAAGATAATCATCAATGATGCCTCGCGGAACTGAAAGCGTTGGATGAAAGGTGGCTTGAAGCCCAACAGCACATTGAGTTCTACCAAGCTCGAATAGCTAAGGCCTTCGACAAGAAAGTCAAGCATCGATCTTTCAAGGAGGGAGGATTGGTACTCTCCGTTTGATGACTGATGATTCTCACTTCCAAGAAGAAGGGAAAATTCCAGCCTAAATGGGAAGGACCGTTCGTGATAGAGACAGTCTATTCGAACGGAGCTTATTGTCTCGTCAAACCAAACGACGATAAGACTATGATGCCTATCAACGACAAATTCCTAAAAAAGTACTACCCTTAGTACTACCCCACATACTCCTACTGGTGCATGAGTCTAAATTGCCCTTGCAACTCCTACAAGTGCACGAGTCTAAACTGGCCCTTACCACCTCCAACTGGTACACGAGGCTAAACTGTTCCTACTTCATATACTCTGACTGACTAGCGAGTATTAGCTACTACTTACGGTAAACCCTTATAAGACGCTACAGATAGTGTTCTTAGGGGGTAACCCAAATCCCTATTTGGTCAAACCTTTCTACAGTTAGGACCAAAAGTCAATTATCAAGTTAATCCCCATCTCTGATAATCATTCCTCTGTCAGTCTCACCTAACTGAGCGATGGATCTCTTAAAACTATCAAGTTAACTATTCACCTCTAGCAGTTTCCTCTAAATTTCCCCCGTTGATCCTCTCCAATAGGACGATGGGACCACCCCCACTATCATGTTAACTATTATCTCTGGCAAAATCAACTTACCAATCCTCTCAAATAGGATGGTAAGCCCACAGAGTTGCTCACATCACAACAAACAATCCAGTCATGTTAACTATCACCTCTAGCAACATCAAACTATCGATCCCCTCCAATGGGATGATAGGCCCTCATAGTTGCTCTGGTTGCAACAAGATTCTACCGGGTTAATGATTACCTCTGATAGCAGGATCCGTCATTCCTACAAATGACACTGCCTGAGTGGTAACCTACCATGTGACGCGTTGCTTGTTTGCGTCAAAAGTTGGTTTTGTCATGGAATTCATTATATCTTCAGTCGATTACAATAAATTCAAAAGAAATAGCCTTTTTATAAGACTTCTTTTACACAACAAAATAAAAATTACAACTCTTGGGAAACAAACGCAGGATCGTTGTTTGGATCACTGCTTGCGTGGGATCTTTGCCTGTGCCGGGGGTGCGTTAGCCCGTGGACCACCAAATCACAGATTCTGATTGAATCGTGAGGGGTTTATGATTCTGACTTCGTTTATCGAAGTGAGAACTTGAAATGATATCTTATCAAGGTAAGATAGTCGTTCTTCTTGAAATCAAGTCAAAGCCTGAATATCAAGGGATTGCCGGCAGCTCAAGAACTCTGCTCTGTCTGCTCTGAAGTGCTCCAAAATGATCCGCCTCTTCAAAGAAATCACCTCGGGGGTATTTATAACCCCTGTATGAACAGTGCTCGCGAGACAGCGTTTGCTGTCTCGGCGGGCGAGACAGCATTTGCTGTCTCGCTGGCCGAGACAGTTGTCTCGCCCAGCGAGACAGTAAATACTGTCTTAGAAAACGAATAGTCCTGACAGTTTCTCGCTGTAACTGCCTTCCCACGTTTTAAACTCCGTTATTCTGGTGGTTATTAACGTGATTCTCGCCCACGACGTTCCCCACGTTCTTGAACAGTTGGTGGCCACGTATCGGCGGTTATAAAGTGGTTTCTAACTTCTTTGAAAACTGTCTCATGGGCGAGACAGAGAATGCTGTCTCGCGGGCGAGACAGAGAATGCTGTCTCGCGGGCGAGACAGAGAATGCTGTCTCGCGGGCGAGACAGAGAATGCTGTCTCGCGGGCGAGACAGAGAATGCTGTCTCGCGGGCGAGACAGAGAATGCTGTCTCGCGGGCGAGACAGAGAATGCTGTCTCGCGGGCGAGACAGAGAATGCTGTCTCGCGGGCGAGACAGAGAATGAACTGTTTAAAGGTTTGACCAAGATGGGAATTTGAGACGATCCTAACTGTTTAAAGGTTTGATCGTTCAATTTGTGGACCTCTCGTTCATGGAACGAATCGAGAGGGGATTTTGGCTTTGGTCCTAACTGTTTAAAGGTTTGACCAAGATGGGAATTTGAGACGATCCTAACTGTTTAAAGGTTTGATCGTTCAATTTGTGGACCTCTCGTTCATGGAACGAATCGAGAGGGGATTTTGGCTTTGGTCCTAACTGTTTAAAGGTTTGACCAAGATGGGAATTTGAGACGATCCTAACTGTTTAAAGGTTTGATCGTTCAATTTGTGGACCTCTCGTTCATGGAACGAATCGAGAGGGGATTTTGGCTTTGGTCCTAACTGTTTAAAGGTTTGACCAAGATGGGAATTTGAGACGATCCTAACTGTTTAAAGGTTTGATCGTTCAATTTGTGGACCTCTCGTTCATGGAACGAATCGAGAGGGGATTTTGGCTTTGGTCCTAACTGTTTAAAGGTTTGACCAAGATGGGAATTTGAGACGATCCTAACTGTTTAAAGGTTTGATCGTTCAATTTGTGGACCTCTCGTTCATGGAACGAATCGAGAGGGGATTTTGGCTTTGGTCCTAACTGTTTAAAGGTTTGACCAAGATGGGAATTTGAGACGATCCTAACTGTTTAAAGGTTTGATCGTTCAATTTGTGGACCTCTCGTTCATGGAACGAATCGAGAGGGGATTTTGGCTTTGGTCCTAACTGTTTAAAGGTTTGACCAAGATGGGAATTTGAGACGATCCTAACTGTTTAAAGGTTTGATCGTTCAATTTGTGGACCTCTCGTTCATGGAACGAATCGAGAGGGGATTTTGGCTTTGGTCCTAACTGTTTAAAGGTTTGACCAAGATGGGAATTTGAGACGATCCTAACTGTTTAAAGGTTTGATCGTTCAATTTGTGGACCTCTCGTTCATGGAACGAATCGAGAGGGGATTTTGGCTTTGGTCCTAACTGTTTAAAGGTTTGACCAAGATGGGAATTTGAGACGATCCTAACTGTTTAAAGGTTTGATCGTTCAATTTGTGGACCTCTCGTTCATGGAACGAATCGAGAGGGGATTTTGGCTTTGGTCCTAACTGTTTAAAGGTTTGACCAAGATGGGAATTTGAGACGATCCTAACTGTTTAAAGGTTTGATCGTTCAATTTGTGGACCTCTCGTTCATGGAACGAATCGAGAGGGGATTTTGGCTTTGGTCCTAACTGTTTAAAGGTTTGACCAAGATGGGAATTTGAGACGATCCTAACTGTTTAAAGGTTTGATCGTTCAATTTGTGGACCTCTCGTTCATGGAACGAATCGAGAGGGGATTTTGGCTTTGGTCCTAACTGTTTAAAGGTTTGACCAAGATGGGAATTTGAGACGATCCTAACTGTTTAAAGGTTTGATCGTTCAATTTGTGGACCTCTCGTTCATGGAACGAATCGAGAGGGGATTTTGGCTTTGGTCCTAACTGTTTAAAGGTTTGACCAAGATGGGAATTTGAGACGATCCTAACTGTTTAAAGGTTTGATCGTTCAATTTGTGGACCTCTCGTTCATGGAACGAATCGAGAGGGGATTTTGGCTTTGGTCCTAACTGTTTAAAGGTTTGACCAAGATGGGAATTTGAGACGATCCTAACTGTTTAAAGGTTTGATCGTTCAATTTGTGGACCTCTCGTTCATGGAACGAATCGAGAGGGGATTTTGGCTTTGGTCCTAACTGTTTAAAGGTTTGACCAAGATGGGAATTTGAGACGATCCTAACTGTTTAAAGGTTTGATCGTTCAATTTGTGGACCTCTCGTTCATGGAACGAATCGAGAGGGGATTTTGGCTTTGGTCCTAACTGTTTAAAGGTTTGACCAAGATGGGAATTTGAGACGATCCTAACTGTTTAAAGGTTTGATCGTTCAATTTGTGGACCTCTCGTTCATGGAACGAATCGAGAGGGGATTTTGGCTTTGGTCCTAACTGT